CCCCAAAACCCCAAAACCCCAAAACCCCAGAGATTATCTGTTTTATTGGGATTTTATATTTTATTTATTTTTTAGTTTTTAGGTGAGAGATGATGGATAGTAAGGAAACTCATAATGAGGAGGTTGATAGTGAGGATATTAATCCTATTGATAGTGTAGAGATAGAGCAGGAGGTGAGGTAAGTAGAGATGTTAGAGAGTGTTATAGTCAAGAGATAGGGAAGTTAGAGAATCGAACCTCTCATTATGATAGTGCTCCGAAGTTAAAGAATTTACATATGGAAGACTCATGATTTGAGTATAATGAGAAGGCTGGTATCTATCCTGAGAATGCTAAGGATAAGCAGAGTAGTCAGAAAATAGTATCGAAGGCCATAGATGAGAATCAGTTGCATTCAGAGGATCCTTTCTCGCCAGTTCATTATGAAATTGACCAATCTCAGCAATTTCATGATTTTAACCCAGAAAATGAATCCTTTGTGAATTATCAAACTCAACGTCAAACCAACATAGAACCCTCAAAACCTCAAAAACAGCCACCGAGACACTCACAACCAAGTTTATTTCGAACCCAGCCCTTTAAACGCCCAGATACCTTATTTTAAACCAATTCCAACATCAAACTCAAATTATCAATTTCCAGAACCCTCAGAATCCTCTCAAGGCTTAATCCCTCTCGAAACCCACAATCTCATGATCCAGCGATACGAATCTGTGCTTCAATCGCTAAACTATGAATTCAAATCATCTCTTGATCGAAACCAACAACTCCAGCAAGAACTCCAAATCATGGAGCAGAGCCAAGCTCAGGACAGGCACACAATCTCAGAACTAAACACCGCTCTCTACAATAACGAAGCTAGCGAAGAAGTTCAAAAGTTATCGAATGAAAGGATCCATCTCAAAATTGAAAACGAGCAACTTTCGAACCAAATCCTGCAGCTTGGAATCCAACTTGAAGAGGCCAAGCAAGCTGCTAGCTCCACCATCGCAGGCGCTCAGGAGAAGTATAAACAAAGTGAACACTTCTTCCAAGCCCGAGTGGATGAGACCATTCATAAAGCCAGAGAAGCCCAAGCATTAGTCCGGGAAAAAGAGGAAGCTAACTTCGAACTTCTGAGAGAAAATGAAGCTCTCCAGGCTGATATCAGAAATCTTGAAGCTGTAGAGTCTTCATTGAAGGACGAGATAGATGAGCTGGTTAGTAAGAGGAAGTCCTTGGAGGATATTAACCAAGCTCTTAAGAACCAAATATGCGAGCAAAATATTGACCTAAGGAAGCTAGATTCAGCTAATAGCACTTTGATAAGAGAGAATCAATCTTTAATGAAGAACATCGAGATGTACAAGATTAATACTGAGGAAATCTTAAATGAGAATAATTTACTCAAGGATAGGATTGATCAACTTGAAGTTGACTTTACAGATCAAGAGCTATTAATTCGACAGCTCAAGTCTGATAAAGAGCAGCTGAAAGTAGAAGTAGATAGGGTTAAAAGGAACAGAACTCTTAGCAGAGACTCTTCCAGGAGATCTCTATCCAAGAATACTCCTATCAAAGACATAGAGGATGAAAGAGCCTTCAGTAAAAATATAGGAAACAACGTTCCAAAAACGCATAACGTACACTTTGATATTCCAACAAAGCGGCCAGTTACTTCAAGGGATAATTTTTCAAATCCTTCTGCTAAGAGCTTGTATGAGGAATATATGCTAAAAATGGGTAATTCTCAAGCTCCAAGCTTAGGATCTCCCAGAAAGAACCAAACATCTGATCTGAAGTTCTCTAATATTGTCTCAAGAATAATGAAAGAGTCGATGCAAAATAAAGGAGTAGAGAATTATCATCAGATAGAAGAGGACTCCGCAGCTAAAGCTGAATACTTTACCCCTCAAAAACCTCAAAGAAGCAGGAATTCTGGTAAGTTTTGGATGTAAATAGTAGTACAATATGCACCAGTGCAAAGGAACTCGAATCAAGGGTCTTCAGATGGATTTAGACAAGCTCTTGGAATCAGCTCTTCTGAAACTAATGTAAATAACACTCAACCAGATAATTATAAGGAAGAAATACAAATTGATGGTAAAATTTCCAAATGATTCTTAGAACTCCCTCCAGCTGGATTGAATAGTTGCATTAAAGATAGGAAATACGCTAGTTTGATAGGCGATAAACAAGGGTCTAGTTCAAACCGAAACTTGATGCCCTCATTTTCTCAAGCTTCTTTGAATAAACCTAACCACCAGGTCTCAGTAAAGGAAGTTCAAGCTGAACTTTTGAAATTTCAGATAGAAAAGCAGAACTTAGAAAATGAATACAATAGGATACCTCGAACTTATATGAAATCTATTGCTCAGCGTCAGAGGAAGAATGTCCTAGAGCAAAAGATTGAAGAAGTTGATAAGCAGATAAATGAGGCCAAGCTATTCATTAGAAGGAAGAAGACAGAAAGAGAACGGTCATTATAACTTCAGAAAATAATTTTCCAATTATTCATGAAGTGAGAGGGGTTTTGGGGTTTTGGGGTTTTGGGGTTTTGGGG